ACATCGAAAGCCATACTTATTTTGTTTTGAGAGATCATATTGACCTCATTTGTCAAGCGTTTACGCCTAAGAGGCACTTTTTAGAGTAACCTAGTCTCATTCAGGTTTGGTGTTTTCTGACTGTATAGCTCACGTAACTTCGATTCTTTATGTGGGACTACAACAAATGCAAGCCATTTTAGCTGAAAAGCATTGTTTTTTGTCTTACTAGAGAATTCGTGTAGTCGGATAGGGCACGGGATAGAGTTTAGAGACACATTTACGCCTTTAAATTCGCAACCGCTTTTATGGAACGCGATTAGTGGGTCATGGCATCACCTTCCGTTCTCCTCTCGTGCTCACTCGTGTTGTCGATGTAATTTGACATTCTGCTGCTCTGCTATTAACTGCCGTAGCAAACCGACCCGCTTCGTCTGGTAAACAACTAGGCTACTCCTGCCATACCAGACTTCATAATGGATGATAAGAAACTGTGGAGTGTGATGACAAGTGGGATTGATTTATCGGTTAGGAAGCCGAGTTGTCGAAGCAGTTTTAGTAAAAGGTCATTCCAAAGTAGTCCTAGAGGTGACTTTTCTGCTAGCTAAACATGGTTTTGCATTTAATCATTGCTTTAGAGACCGAGAATCTTTACAGTTTACGAAAATCGCACTTGCCTATTATTGATATCAATCCAAGTTTGGGGCTTTCAGTCCTACATTATGGGTGTCAAAAGAAGCATATCCTCCAACCGCTCTTAAACTAGTCTTGTGGGAAATAGTTGTCTTCTAGCAACCTTATGTCTTAAAATGCATGAAGTCCTCCTGTGCAACCACTCATTCTAATGAACCAGCGAGGGTGCATTTTTATATATTGCTTAACTTTAACTGTTTGTAAATACGTATTTGGCTTATCACAAGTAAAAGGTTAAGGTATCATCATATGTTTTGTGTACCTGTTCAGATTTGCAAATTTACATTATGAACTGACGGAAATCTGGTTATCCTCTTTCTATTTTGCGTGCACTCGTAATTGCTGCAAATGTCCAAGGTTTGACAGACTTCGCAAAGTGCTACTATGCAATGATTATGCCGTCGAGTTTATTTTCGCACGAAAAAGTCAAGGGACGTTCGCTAGAAACATTTTAAATTTATGGGTTGGTGATTTTTATGCTTACAGTGATCCATTAATGATTCTGTGGGTGAGCAAAACTTTAGTGGTTATGTGTAAATCTTTATTTACGCTTCGGCTCATCGGTTTAGATTTAATGTTTTTTTTCTCATATGCTTAGTCGATGATGGTGGAGATCTAGTCTCCCATTTTTCGAGTATCAAGTCCTCTTTCTCCAGCTTCGTGAGTGCCTTGGAAAAGGGCATCTCTGAACTTACCGGCGGATCGTTTAACTTCCCCTTCAATGGCCATGATGCCGGAACTTCTGGCGATAACCGTGACGTGAGTTGGCCTCTTTTCTCTCCCTCTCGTTTAGGCCACCTCTTGGGACGCTACTGAGTTATTACAGTCTAGTACGGTTGTTATGCAATGCTTGAGACTGGCCTGGCTGCTAAACCTCGTCACACTTCTGGTGTCCTTTCTTGAGTGAACCTTAGACAACCGCTCACAGCGGGACCCTTCCTTTGTCGTTGTTTGTGTACCACATAGCAAGTGCTAGTCATACCACCTGAAAAGTTTTCAAAATACGTGGAGGATTTTATTGTTAAAATTTTCAGACTTTAATGAAATTTTGGGCCTTAGCTATATTCATTAGGAGCTATGGGTCGGTTTAGTCCATGGGACGTAATTTCCATGGGTTCTTCCATTGGTCCCAACTTTTGCCCCCAAACTTGCAGTCATACGACATGCTGTAGTTGAGCTGGATCTAGAAACTAGTAAACGTAAAAATTCATGCGCCTATCTTTATGAGAGGCTAAAACGGCTGATGTGAAGCTTTACAGTGGATTATAGGATGAGAACGACTGTGCTACGTTGAAATCTCTTTGCAACGCAAAATCTTTCAAATTTAATGGCGATGCTGGACCCTGTAGATTTTGATGCTTTAGCAACTATATTCTCTTCTCGTGATTCTGGTCATAAGTATTTGATTGGAAGGCATAGATGAAGGCTGATTCAAGGATAATTCGCTTATTAGGCGCTTTCGTAAGGAATGTACAACTAGTACCGCAGATGTCATGAGGATGATTCAATTTTCTCTCGATGTTATGTTAAATGGTCCGGCTAGATGCGATTGCAATCCTTTTCCTTCTCACAGCACGAAATCTAATTGTGTAGTTGCTTTGGGATCCTGGGTTCTCTCCCACAAAATTTAGTCGATTTATTTGTTTAAAACATGTAGATTTTCGCTTTTTTTCATACCTTAGAAACATTGTCATGAGAGATTTTTGCTGAGCGACACCAATGGGGTACTCCAGGCAACAATTGCGAAGATTGGAAGTGCAAATAAGTCTGAAACTCCTCTTTTAGCGCACATAAAGGGTTTTGATTTTGGAGGCAACTTCTAAACTCGATGTGGATAGAATTCATAATGAGCATAAAAGGGCCATAAAAGCTTACTTTTGGTGCATGCAGGGCAGAGGGAGGAGATTCCCATCACCTTCTGCCTCATATGGCTAAACATAAGCATTTATTCGAAAATCACTTTTCATACCACCTTTTACATAACTGGTAACAAAATCTAGGCAGTCATTCCTAAATCCACTGTAGACCTTAATAATTTGCCTCAAAATTTAATTTATCAGTGGGTCTTTCTTGTGTTATGGTTTTAGTGCTAATATGGTTGAAGTTTAGCTTCTTAAATTGCTGTTTCGGTTGTCTTTGGTTTGATACACCCTTCATGCTGCCTTTCGATACCTTAACCTCTTCCCGGTGTTACTCCGCAGCGAATATACTCCCCAAGGATGTAGCTTGATTCCAGATTAGGTTGTGCAATCCTTTTAACCTCACCTTTAGGTTTAGGTTAGGAATCTCTTATCGAAGTTCAGGCTTGCTGAATTTTAATTGCCTCTAGCAATCGTTGTGTTAAAGCACCTTCTCAGTTGAATAGAGGGAAATGCATCATTACTGTGTGGTAC